TTCCTATTAATTAGAATAATTTATTATCCAGAGAAATCCATTTCACAAACCTACCAGATAATGGAACTATTTATTGTGGTACCATCCTACATAACAAAACACTGCTTAACTTCTATATAAACTTCCTTCTTTTTTTTTTTTAGGAACACCAAATAGTTCGTTACTTCAAAGTCAATTTCCATCATAAGCCAGTGTCGGGATGCTGTGGCTTTAAATTTATAAAGGATAAGGATTTTCTTTTTTCAACTCACAGGAAATGAATAAAGACATAAAGAGTTTTGAACCTCAGGAAATACCACACACAGACCTCCAAAATGGAATCTGAGTCAGATGTGTACCACAATAAAGAGAAAACGTTAACTCTTATAGAATAAGAGCTGTCCTGTGCCCACAATGCTGGAATTGACAGGTGATACTTGTCCACCTGTCTGTCATTCTGCTTTTCCAGGTGGTCTTGAAAAAGCTTTTAGAAGGAAAACACCTGAAGCCAAGAGACCACAGAACGTGTAAGGTGACACATATAAGGGACATAGGGTTATGATCAGGCGGCACTTAATATCTCCTGCCTGTAGGTGTTTGTCTGTGCCCTATGTTTAGAGAAATAATCTCTTTCTCAAAGAATCACAGGCTGCTCTCAAGATTAGGAGTTTTCATGCTCACTCGGTCAAGCTGCCTCATGCAGATACCTTCCTTCCTAGGACTCTGGGAGACATCTTAACTAAACACAATAAATCTTGTGGAGTAAGAATATAAATATCACCAATTCAGTTCCCCATTATCTATGCTTGAACATATGTGGTGGAGAGGGGTGTTTTGGAGTGACATAGACTATCAATAATACTGATCTTTGAAAATTTCAAATAATTTAAAAACCTTAACAAGTAGCAAGTAGTCTTGAGTTTCAACCCCTCTGTCAAGTCCTGACGGAAAGTTGCAGTTGGCCGAGAACAAAGATCAGAAGGGAAAATAGGTGTGAAAGATCATCCCCATTGGATACTGCCATGTAAATGATGCGTATACCTCACAGCTGAAAAGTGGTTCCAGTGGGGTAGGGTACAGTGCAGTGGCAGAATGTGTGCTTAGCACACACCAAGTCCTGGCACCTCCATTAATAAATAAATAAATAAACCTAATTACCCCTCTCAAAACAAAATAAAACAAAAATCCTAGAAGGGAATGCAAAATAGTTCCAGACTCAGTTTTCACAAAATTTCATGACAGGAGCTAGAAAGCAAGAAGTACTGTGCCAAAGAGGAGTAACATTTCAATTTATCCATAATGTTTAATCCAGTCTAGTGAGACTTCATCTTGATCGAGTTAGTGGAATTTTGGTAATGTTACTGCATGGCTGAACTTAGATATTGCAGATTTCATGAGTGATGGTAGCTTTACATACATGCACACTGAACTCCCTGTAAGCCTCCACCCCTTCAGAGTTCTGCCTGGGTTTCAATTCCAGGCTACACCAGAGCTGCTAACTTGACTGATAATAGTTTACATGACTTCAATTAAACCTAATTCTGTTTAATGACATACCATGATGGCTCATGATTGTTACACACAAGAGATAGTTGGATGGTCTTTTTCATTTGAAATGAGAAACACGAGCATCTTTTTATGTAGAAGCATAAGGAGAAATGTTAGGCTTTATCAGCAAATCTCAGTCCTGTAGCACCTTTTAAGTCAACTAGAGAATTTCTTTGTCTTCAGCATAGATGGAAATTTAAAGTGAACTGTATATTTTGAAAGGTATTTAAAATAATAATAGCTATACATTCAATATCTTGTAATAACCTATAATGAAAAAGAATATGAAAGAGTATATATGTATAACTGTGCTGTGAGCCAGAAACTAACACAACATGGTAAATCAACTATACTTCAGTTAAAAAAAAATAATAGCTAACATTTGTTGAGGATTCACTACATATCATGCATTTTCTAAGGACTTTGTGTGAGTTCATTTGATCTTTAAAAAAAATCTTAAAAATAAGAAAATCAAGAAACTGAAAGTTGTCCCAGCCGTGACAGGAACCCAGGGAGATGAGCTCATTGCCATGAGCCTGTATACGCTACTATCTTACCCTTTCATTACATATTTTTAATCATTTGTTTGATGTCAGCAAACACAAGCACACACACTAACAGTGCTGTGCTAAACAGCCTGCGCAGAGACTGAATTTATACTCTTAGATCAGTGTCACCTTTAACCTAGACCGTCATCACAGTCATGAAGTGGTCTAATTGCTGAACCAGGGCATTAGAGATGAGAGGAAATACAGAGATCCTTTGGGATCTTACCTAATCCTTTCTGATCCTTATCAACTCTCCAACTAAAATTTTCTTTCCTCATTGTAAACATCTGATCTTATTCACCTTATCCAGCTGATTGAGTCAACATCCCAATTTCCAATATGACACTAAGACACTACAATAACTTAACTGATCTCTACTTCTAGTTTGCCTCCTTTACTGTAGCAAGAGGAATCTTTGTTCTACCCCAGCCTATATGTGTCACTCCCTGCATTAAACCATCAATGGCTCCCCATTGCCTACGTCAGTAGTTCTCAGATGCGTATAGGAATTTATTGTGGTGATGGTCGCACAACTCTGTAAATATACTCAAAACCATTGAACTGTACACTTTAAATAGGTGAATTGCATGGGATGTGAGCTCTATCTCCATAAAGTTGTTACTTTAAAAAATTTATGGAGGATTCAAAGCATCTGGAAGTCATGGCATGCTATGGGCAACGTCCTGAAATGTTGAACCAGAAGCAATTTTATTAGCAGAAAAAAAGGCTATGGTAGATACTACATATAATTATAAGATGAAAATCCACAACTTTACAACTATATCTACAGTAAAGCAAGGGGTTGAGCTAAGATTATCACCAGTTTCTAATGTTTGCCTTTAATATTAAGTTGTCATTTATTAAATCATTTTATTGCCTACAAGCTAGCAAACAAGCATTGACATCAAAGACAAGGAAAATCTGAAAGGGAAACTTTAAAATGGAGTACATCCTGTGTAGCTCTTTGACTTATTTATGTATTTTCTTGCCTTCAGATTAAGACCGCAGGAAAGCTTCTATGTTTGGAATAACACTAAGGTTTTCTGGAGGAGATTTAACAATCCCTGGCTTCCTAGAAAATGCCTATTTCTCTTGATATCACAAAAGACCCTTTTTCCAACCTGACCTTAAAAAGTCTCTTTCCATCTTCACCTTGCTCCACACCACCTCAAGGCTGCCACACAGCAGTAACCACATATCCCCCACCACCATGAGCGGCTAAGCATCCTGCAAACACACCCTGCAGCTTCGCTCCTGCTCCTCCTCCTCCTGGAATATTCTTTCCTCTTTTCTCCACTTGACTGTCTAAGTTCCATGTTACCTTCCCGACTTCCGCAGTCCAAGAAAGTACCACAAGAGCAGGAAACATGTGTATCCTCCTGAATGTTGTGTCTCCAACATAAACATAGGGGCTGGTCTAGAGAAAGTGCCCCAGAAATATCCCCTTCTCGGCACCCTCAGGGTCTTCATGCCCGAGTCTCCCCACTTACCTCTTGTGCTGAAGTTATTTTTCTGTGACCTCATCCTCACGTTCTCCTTCATAGCAGACGATGAGTTCTCGAAGGCAGGAGTTACGTCTGTCACAGAGTAGATGCTCCATAAGTATCTGCTACATTTAGGTGAATTGAAAAATACATTCTCTGATACCCAGACATTCAAAGTCTCGAGGAAAAAGAAAACAGTCTAAAATACTATGTGGCAACAACTCTAAGTGAGGCATGGACCTAGCATTTCGAGATTCTGACGAAGGGGCTATCGGTCTTCTGGACTGGAGGTGCTTACTCTGGAATCTTCATAGAGGCTGAGACACTTGAGCTGTCCCTTGAAAAATAAGAGCCAGTTCACCAAGAAAATAGCGAAAGGGATTCGAAGGTAAAGGAATTCAGCACCGAGACAGAAACTGGGAGGGTAAGGGCATTTGTCCCCAGTGGGTCAGGTGAGGCCTCAGTGTGGGGTTGGTGGCAGGGAGTGGCTGGCAGGAGGCTGGGCCTGGCAGTGCTCCCAGCCCGTGCTTTGTGACGTGAGCCAAAGGGTCATGTCATCAGGTTTGTGTTTTAATCTGCTCTCAACAGCCTCTTCTGTGCTACCCCTTTCCAACATACACGTGGACCATATGAGAAACTTGACTGCCATCATAGATAGGATGTGTAGACAAAGGTCAGAGGGACCTGATAGATTCTTGTGAGAATGAACCTGGGACTCAGGATGGTGTTCTAACCATTGAGTAATCAGCCAACCTTGTGCTCTGGAAATCACACACTGAAGCAGAAGGCAAGAATGTGGTAGAACCAACACAGCTGGTTTCTAACAAAGCTGGTTTCTTCGGAAAGCCAGCATCATTCACTTAAAAAGATGCCTGGCCTCCCAAAAGCCCACCCTGATTTTTTTAGGCCAAAGGACTCTCTCTGAAATACACTGGAGCACTTGATTTTGTACTTAAGACACTTGGAAAAATACTTTTTTTTCTTGCATTGCAGCTGTTTTCTCTTCATTCCTGGTACCACCTTTTTATCCTTTGCCTCATTTTAAAAGCTTATACCTGATACAGGGCGGTTTCAAAAGACAGCTTGGGAGCAAGGTAGAGTATAAATCAATTAACAACACGTCTTGTTAGATTTTAAGTTTCAGGAGGGGGGAAGTCATGTGCCACTCATCTTTATAAAATTTTACCAAGTAAAACATTTGTTGAATAAATTCATGTCATGATAACAATATGTAAAGTAAAAACATTCTTTGGCTTCTAAAAGAAGTTGACATTTTGATGATTTTTTTCCCTTGGAAAATCACTCCCTTTCCTAGGAGAATTTGCCTAGATATTTAACTTTTATTTTTAAAAATTTCAACTCTCCTAACCATTCCCCTCGTCTGTGCTTGTCACTTTTTTCCTTGATTTGATTTGCCAAAGTTTTCTCTCTTGTCTTTTTAGAGAAAAACAACCCACAGTTTGATTTATTATGCCTATTTTTTGTTGTTTTCTAATAGAGCAGGGATATATTTACAACAGCAAAATTACGTAAAACTCCAAAGAAACAAAAATATTTGCCACTCACTGAGACACAAATTTGTAAAGAAGAAAGTTAACAGTAATCAGCATAAGTACAGTAAGTTACAAAGATATGTTGATATTTTAATGGGGGAAAATAGCCAAAAGGAACACAAAAATAGTTTTAAAATACAGCATCTTTGCCACAGCACATTTCCATAAATAATTAACTACTTCCACTTGGACACTTAATTTTTCAGCCCTCTTTGAATTTACATTCTGAAATCTTGATGTTCTACTGTAGTTTATAAACTAGCCATTCATTCTCTCATTCCATGGACTCACAAAGATCAGTCCCATCATAAGCAATTAGAAGGACCAACTTCCTGCTAGAGATACAGCAATTCAAGGCTAGTATTTAATCTTAATTGGCAACAAGTTTAGTGCAAATAAAATTATATTTAGCAGCTTAGAAGATTCCTGGTGGGGAGGCATTCACTTCTTAACCCTTACTGCTTCCCCCGGAACAAACCATCTCTCTCTTTTCAAGAGTATGAACGTGGGCCATTCAAACTTAGTGAAAACTGCTAATGCTAATTCTGCTCTTTGTTACACAGGGAGTTTCCATGAAAGATGTTTCAGTCATTCTGCAAATGAGACACGCAGTTTTTACATTTGGAAAGTTCCCCTCAGGTTGATTTTTTTTTTATGTAGGGCCTGAATGTCAGTCATAACTGGATCTTACCCAAATGCTTCTCTGAAACGATGCACTAACCATTTCTGGCATTGGCCACCATAGGTTGCATTCAAAGAAAGACCTGAGGACAGGGCTGAGGAATCTCTTAAATCAAGCTCTACTCTCCAGCAACAATTTTATTTCAGATATGAATGCCAAAATAAAAGGAAAAGAAGAGAAGCCATCTGATTTCCAACCTGGTGCTTTTCACTCTAAGCCAAGATTTATTCTCCAAATGAATGGGAGCCAGAGAGCTCCTAGCCAGAGAGAGGATTTTGTTTGAGGTTCATCAATTCCTTGAATTGTCTCTCTTCTTGTTAGACACCTGTTCCCTCTCTAGCCAAGGCCTGGGATCGCTGCTTGGGAGAACAGCGTGGCCTGCTGTGCCCGGTTCTCTGGTGGCTAGGGAAGAGGAAGGACACCTGGGTTTTAAGCACCTGCCTCTGCTCCTTGTTTAGGTTTCACTGGCCCAAGGACTTGAGCCGTCAGAAAGCTTGGAAGACCGCTGAGGTCCTGAATGTGTGACACAATCTAGGGAGGTAAACACTAGGTAGGCCATCTCACTTGACCTCTCTCTTGACCAACTCCTTGCCAAGTTTTCCATTCCCCACTGAATGCTCTCACTGACTAGCTCAAGGATGGGCGGTGGTGGTAGCATATTGGAGAGAGGGGCCCACTCAGTCACTGTACTCTTCTCTCTCCCTTGGAGAGGAGAATTTCTCATACTGGTTGGCCAACTTCCATTTGTTGTGCTGACTTTTGAGTAGTGCAGCAAGGGAAGTCTTTCGGGTGACATGTCTAGATACATCCCTGTTCCTGGCCTTCCTGATGGGGGAAGAGTTTCGAACCAAAGGATAGGCAGGGAAAATGGGCTTGCCCCGTGGGGCTTCCAGGAGCTGCCATATTTCCCCAGAGGTATTACTGGTCAGATACTGCCACGGCTTCTTCCCACTGCTGTCCCGGATATTCACACGAGACGCCAGCCTTTGCACTAGCAATTTGATGATGCCCTGGTGGCCATGAATGGCTGCAAGGTGGAGTGGGGTATACCCACAACTGGACTTCACATTTACATCAAGAGCGATCCCTGCCTTCTGTGCACCCGACACCAAGTCCTGAAGGGCCCTCAGGTCACCATGTTTGGCTATCCAGTGCAAGGCAGTGTACCCAGTCAAAAAGTCTTTGTGCAAAGCCAGCTGGGGATCCTCCCAGAACAAAGTCAACACCTGAATCCAAGAGCCACTGGCAAGCTTCACAATCCATTCATGCTCCCTGGCATCTAGGGGAACCAGGGATGACTTGTGATCAGAAGATCTGTGGGGGACCAAGGCTGCAGGCCTCTCCCCTCCAGGGGCCCATGGGTTATGTGGACACCCACGCTCGTCAAAAGCAGCCTTAATGTCTGCAGGTTTTGGTGTCAAAGCGGCATCCACCCATGGGTTGGACACTGTTCCTGCCTTGGAGGGTTTCCTGGACCGGGGTGGGCGTCGGTTCCTTTTCAGCAAATCTTCCTCAAGGCACTCCTCATCTGAGGAGGACGCTTCGGCCCTCCCTGCCCTAGAGCTCCTCCTCAGGGATCTCCTTAATTTGGGCGCTGGCCAGGGCAAAGGCTGGGGGTGGCCTGCAAGGCCACCAGCTCCTGTTGGGACGGGCTGAGAGCTGTGACCATCCCCTCTGTTTCTGAGGCCCTGAGGGTCCCTGCTGGAACTGCCCTCCTTTGGAAAAGGGTCTCCAGCTGGATTCCTGAGCCTTCTCCAATCTGAGGCTCCAAGAGCAACGTGCAGCCCTTCTTCAGAGCCCCCAGGGGACTCTTTGGGTCCACTGCTGCTCTCCTCACTGCCGTGGCTCTCCTGGTCCACAAAGTCATCCAGATCCTGTAGGGACAGCTGACAACGAATGCTACGAAAGACTGCCAGTGGCGAATTCCCAGGCCAGGATTCCGGAACAGCGGGAAAGCGAGAATGAGAGGAAAGAGGAGGGTCAGATGGTGCTGAGTTAGGTTCCAGCACCCACCAGCCTGGCTCTGAGGGTAGCTGGGGGAAGTTGTCTGGCAGCACCGACCAGGCTCGGATGGGGCCCTGGTCCCGGGCCTCCGGTGTCTGGGGGTGTCTGGCCACCCACTCCCGAGTGCGCTGCTGCTGCTGCTGCAGGGTCGAATAACGCAGAGAGCCCGGGGTCACCAGCTCCGGCGGGTCTCTGGGGGAAGCGGGACCAGACTGCAGAGCAAGCGAGGAAGCCCGGCTCCCAGCAGCCTCGACGGTTGCAGGAGACGAGAGGGGCGCGGCGGGCTCGGGCCGGGGCTCCTCGGGCACACTTTCTCGATGCGGCCTGGGAGCCCCACGGTCTTCCCGAGCAGGCGGAGCCGGTGCCGGCTTCTCCTCGGCGCTGACGGTGGCGGTGGCTGTGATGGCGGGGTCGGGGAGGCCGC